GTTGTGTCCAACTCTTTGCAACCCCATGGACTGTAGCACACCAGGCTTCCCTGTCCATCACCAACTCCTGGAACTTGCTCAAACTCATGTCCATTGAGTCGGTGATGCCATCCAACCATCTCATCCTCTGTCGTCCCCTTCTCCTCCTGCCTTCAGTCTTTCCCAGCATCAGGGTCTTTTCCAATGAGTCAGTTCTTCACATCAGGTGGCCAAAGTATTGGAGTTTCAGCTGAAGCATCAGTCCGTCCAGTGAATATTCAGGACTGATTTCCTTTAGGATTGACTGGTTTGATCTATATTGTATATATATGCATTTGTTAAAAAAAAGGATCCATTAATAGGTCATATAATTTAGTGGGTTGTAGCCAACATTACAAAAATAAAAGAATGCGTCACACATAGTTCATGTGAAGCTTGCTATATATGTGCATGGTGCGCACACACACATGGTTGTGCTAGGTCACAGTATAAAATGTACTTCTACCTGGGTCATGGTCATTGATGGGAGGGGTACTCAGTACGGATTAAGATGCTTCCTTGAGTTGTACTCAGTTTTGAATTGGTCTGAATTTTAAGGTTTTTTTCCCCCATCTTTTTTCTTGTGTGTGCTAGTCACGTAGTCATGTCAGACTGTTTGCGACTCCATGGACTGTAGCCCGCCAGGCTCCCCTGTCCATAGAATTCTCCAGGCAAGAATACTGGAATAGTTTGCCATTCCGTTTTTCCAGGGGATCTTCCTGACCCAGGGATCAAACCTTGGTCTCCTGCATTGGAGGCGGATTCTTTACCATCTGAGCCACAGGGATACTCTTTTTTTCTTAGATTGTTTAAAAAACAAAAAAAACAAATCGAGGACTTCCCTGGTGGTCCAGTGGTTCAGACTTCACACTTCCAGAGCAGGGGGTGCTTTGATCCCTGTTAGGAAACGAAGATCCCATATGCTGTGCTGCCTGGCCAAGCACAAGAAAAGCGTTCCAAAATCGTTTGGGTTAGTTGTTGCTCTGAATAGTTTATCCTGAAAGGGGGTGGCGTGGGGGGCACGGGCGGAAACCTCAGGACAGGGGGCTTTTGGTGTGCTGGGCGCCATCTTGTGGCCTTTGGGTTACAGTGCAACGTAACTCCCTTTGATAGAGAACTTGCGAATCGTTTTCCTGATGTTCTGGCTGAGCTGTACAAATGGCCAGCGCTTGAAGTTAAACCCGTCTGAAGATTCAATTCTTACCTTCATTTATCCTTGGCCTCACACTCGACCCGTAACTCTAGCCAGTCATGAGAGAGGATGATCATGAGACCAGTCAGCGCTTAGTCTCTCGAGGTTGGGTCACATGTACTGCCTTTTTAAATAAGGACAGTATACTGGCAGTGGATTCCGCTTTCAGTGGACGAAGAGGAAATGGGCTTACACTTCCCCTCCTCTGTGATGCCTTCTCTCATCCCTATCTTCCCTGTTGTTTTTCATGCCGGCCTTGGAGCCAACACAAGTGTCAGCATTTTTAGTACTTATTCTGCTTTTTCACTGATTCACTGATTTATTCACCGATTGATTTTTTACATGCTTATTTGGGAAACTGGGCTTCTTGATGGAAGGAATTGTGCCATATCTTTTTATTCATATTACGTAGCAAAGTACCTTGCACGTATGCAGGTCATAATTTCCATGTGAATGAATGCATGATTTAGGTGAATTTGGATATTTGACTTGGCTTTTTAATTTGTTAATTTAAAAAATTATAAGCTTAAGCCTAATTTATAGTTAAAATTTAAATTAAAAAATTATAAGCTTAAATTATGGTGAATCTTTAAAAAAGTTTTTTAAGGAATTTACCTAAGTGTACAATATTATGCACAAATTGTGTTATTAACAGTGGAACTCTTAAAAAGTTGCTTTGCAGCATTTTAAAGACAATATTCAAAAGCAAGGTTAGAAAATGTCTGATCTTTCTATAGAAAGTTGGGTACAGTGTGTAACTGCAGGAAACCCACTGCCCCTTTGTAAGTTGTGGAACCTAAAATGTATGGAAATATTTGATGTTTTCAGCAAAAGAAAATATGGTCCAAATTAAAATTTCCAGAGATACGTAAAAAAAAAAAAAGGTTGCTTTGCTATCTTGGACTAAATACATATGATAAATATTTTATTTCCTTTTAAAGGCTAAGTAAAAAATTTAATGATTTTATAGAAGTGTGTGTGTATATATATGCATATGTGTATGTATATATATGTATACACACAAACATATTTATACACCCCCACAACCACTGGCATGGAGACCTTTATGGAGCTATTTGCCTGCAGTATATGTTTCTTCACATTCATGTTAATACCTCTATTCAGATATATTTTAGTGACATAATTCATAGGTAACAAAATACAAGAATGTATTCCATAACATCACATGGGGAGGGTAAGGTACAAAAATATCATTAATAAAATAGTGGTTAATATATTTAAGAACAAAATATAGAAACTGGAAGTCTCCTGACAGATGCAAAGTTTTACTATGTTGGATTAGATGTATCCTTGGATATGGAAGAAATTATGGGAATGAGGAATGATTCCTTGTATGAGCTTCTGGGGACTAAGAAATTCCTGAAAGGGCAGGCCACCATGAGTACTTCAGAGGTCAGAACACTGGCTAGGCTCAGCTGGGGAATAGCCAACAGATCAGAGATTTGAGGGAGAAGCAGGGAATTACAGATGTTATTCATATATATATATATATATATATATATATGAATATGTTGTTCATATATGTGGTATATGAAAACAGTGCAAGTGTTAATTGCTCAGTTGTGTCTGACTCTTTTGAGACCTCCACGGACTGTAGCCTGCCAGGTTCCTCGGTCCATGGAATTCTCCAGGCAAGAATACTGGAGTGGGTAGCCATTCCCTTCTTCAGGGGATCTTCCCAAGCCAGGGATCAAACCTGGGTCTCCTGCACTGCAGGTGGATTCTTGACCACCGTGCCACCTGGGAAGCCCTATTTGACGTATGTGCCTGCATGCGTGCCAAGTTGCTTCAGTCATGTCTCTTTGTGACTCCATGGACTGTGGCCCACCAGGTTCCTCGGTCTGTGGGATCCTACAGGCAAGAATACTGGAGTGGGTTGCCATGCCCTTTTCCAGGGGATCTTTCTGACTCAGGGATTGAACCTGCATCTCCTACATTGGCAGGTGGGTTCTTTACCACTAGTGCAATCTGGGAAGCCCATATGGTTTATGTATGTATGTGTGTATACACATACATACACAGAAAAGACTTTGCCTAGTGTTTCATAGAAACTTTGGGCTACCTCTTGACCTATTATTTTGGATAATCTTCTACTGTTGTGGCATGGTCTATCCTTCTGCTGCATAGGTAGCTAAACTATTATTGGTCTCCTTTCCTTAATCTGTTGGCAACTATCCCTAGAGAATGGTTTCTCAGCCTTGCTACTATTGACACCTTGGACCAGATAGTGTCCTGTGCACTGTAGGATGCGTAGCAGCATCCTTGAGTCTACCCACTAGATGCCAGTAGCACTCTTGACAGTTGACAACCAAATATACCCCCAGACGTCAGTCTGCTCTGGGAGACTGTGCCGAGTTGAGAACCACTGGATGTAGACTGTGAAGTTGCATGTTTGGGAATAGGTCTCCTGTGCTTCCCTTATTATAATAGTAAATCGTCCACCCAAGAGAAATGATGGATTGCCCTGCCTTTTCCATCTCTACACAAACCACAGGTCCACTGACACATCTGGGCTTTGTGAATGGTGTTTAACATGTATTAGTGGTTATGTTTTCTAAAAAGTTGTGACACTTGTTAAATCAACCATAATTCAAATCACATACTTAACATATAGATCAATTCCTTATGATAGGCTAAATACAGAAAATAATTTCCAGTTTCTATTATAAAAATTTCCAGTTTCTATTTAAAAAAAAACAAATACAAGCAGAGAGTCAGTGTACACATATATCCTTTAGGTACAGAAACAGCTTCATTCATGTATAATTTTAATTTGAAGACCCAGATACAATATTCTTTAAATGACAATGGCCCCTAAAACTTACTCAAACTTACTATAAAAAGTAAACAAGTGAAGAAATATAATTTTAAACTCTGCCCCTTGCTTGAGAGCTTGGAGGAACCCAAAAAAAGCTTAAAAAAAAAAAAAAAGCCATTGCCATATTCAGGTGATGAATTGGCACTGGAGTTCAGCTTTATATGTGGTCATTTGCAAACAGCTGGTTACATTATATATGGAGATTCAACTTTTGTTAAACTCTATGTCTTTTTTTGTTTTTGGCCATGTTGTGCAGCTTGCAGGATGTCAGTTTCCCAACCAGGGATAGAACTCGGGCCATTGCAGGGAAAGGCTGGAATTCTAATCACCAGGGAACTCTCATGGTAAACTAAATACAAATATTTCTTACTTATAATTTTGGTACAAGCTGAAAATGTAAATTTAGATAAAAGAGAGAACCAAAGGGCTTTATGCTGGGTACAGAGCAGAGTCTGGGGTTCACTGTCTCTACCAGACGCAGTGGAAGGTGACTGTGCTCACAACCTATTCTTTCCTGCTGCCCTCAGAGGTGAGCCACAGAGGAATGTAAAGAGCCCAGAAACTAGAATTAGCCTATCTGGGTTCAAAGACTGATTCTACCTTTGCAAGCTGTCTCCTCATCTGTGAAATAAAGAACTCAAAGAGTTACTGTGAGAGTTAAGTGAAAAAAAAATGCACCTAAACTCCTAACAATGCCTGGCACATGGCATGTACTCCATAAATGTCAGTTAGTATTCTTGTTACTAGTTTGAGTCAGTCTGACATTTCCTGTTTTGGAAAGATAGAGAATAACTGCCTATCTTTTGGCATCAGTGTCTAATGATACTAAGTATATTTGGCTCCTGACATGGATTTTTGTATTATTTGAGAAACTACTACTGTAACACAGTGTGGTAATACACAGTGAGTTTTATTGAGAAGTTTCAAGCACTGTGACCTGAGGAAGTATTTTCAGTTCATTTTATCGAAATACTTCAGTTTCCCGGCTGGATCTGGGATTATCTGTTGAAGAAAAGAAGACAACGTACATCATCAGTAGTCTGATAATAGTTGCCCATCTCTTGACTAAAGAAGGTCAAGATTATTTTCCTGTACCAAATTATATATATTTAGGAAAGACTGGATTTGTCCTACCTGCTAATTTTAATCTCAGCTATTTTAAAAGGCAGGTGATCTGCTAGTGAATTAACATCTGTACTTAAGCACTCCCAAACTTACTTATAACTCTTCTCTTGGCCACCAGGCTTGCATGGCATCTTCAGGTTTGATCTAATTAAATCAAACACATTAAGGGAGCATGGCTACAGATGTTAATGCATTTGTAAAATAATCTGCTAATGAAGTGATGGTATGCTACAACCTGAAAAGGGGGCAGAGAGCTCAAATGGATTTTTTGGCAGTCTAGGGTATAACCTTTTCATCTCAAACTGCAAAGTAAAAGAAACACTCTATATAGCCTCCCTAAATGAAAGAATGTGTTTCAGTCTCATTTTCCTTCATATGACAAGGAGAGAATCATTAGGTTCATTGTCAGTTAAGCCAGATTTTCTCTAAAGCTTTTAATATATACACTGAAAAATTTTTCTTGTGACTGTTCTCTTTGCCCTGAATTTATTTGAACAAGCCTCCACCACTTCCCTCCTCCTGCTTTTTAAATGATATAATTCTCTGAATACTTGGCTTTAAAATCCAGAGCATCAAGTCCCATATTCTACTTTCCCAGTTTCAGCTACTCTCCCTACAGTCCAAAGAATGCCTGTACTTCTTTTAGGAGTTCTGCCTAGAAATGTTTACTTCATTTACAAAATCAAGGCAGGTCTGTTACAAACAGAGATTATCCTAGGGTTGGCTGCTCCTTTTTGGCCCCAGCTATCCCCTTAACAGAAAAATGAACTTGACTTACTGTTTCACTACCAGGTTTCCAACCAGCAGGGCAGACTGAAAGGAACAAAAATTGGCAAAAGGCAATTTAAAAACTGTTCAATTCTATCAATTCTCAGCTTTTCTTTTTCCAAATGATACTGAAAATAGAACCTATATTAATGAGAACATTTCTAGGCCACCAAACACTTGACTTGTTAGCTTACTGGCTTGCAACAAGAAATTTTAGTCCTGGAGCTTATCAGCAGATAGCTATTTTTCAGTTTTCTCAGTAATGTTTAGTTACATTTATAACAGAAGAAATCAAATTGAGTGTTCCTTTAGTAAAGTTGGAAAGTTTGGGAATCTGGTGAATTCAAAGATCTGGGTACAGCAAAATTCCTCAAATGTACATTCCCTTAAGCTTATCTTCTGTGCCCTGCAGTATTTGGTCCTGATGCCATGGTTCACTGTTTGTTTTAGCACCCTGACCCAGGCACTAAGTTATATTTTTGAAAGGAATATATAACATATGTTCTATTTTAAGAAGAATCTGATGTTCACCATTTGGCTACTGCAAAAACTTGGAGTGAAAGGGTGAACTAATAGATTATTAGTGTGTTACTGAATAACCTCAAAGATTTCTGAATTACCTTGAAGAAAAAAGCTTAAATTAAATAATGTAAAACATGCAAATAAAACCTACATTACTAGATATGGCCAGATTGGTTGGCACATTTTAAGTTAATAGAAACATAATGGGAAAAATTACAGTAGCAGAAACTTTTCTCTGAGATATCCAAATGGACTATGAAAATAATATTTTTTCTATCCTATTCAGTAGGTAGAATATATTAGTGATATTTTGTGAAAAGCACTTTCATATTAATAATTAAAATTTGATTTGCTTAAAAGATCTAATAATTTGGAAATAATTGGAAGACTCTGGAACCATGAAAATTACCTTTAAGGTAAGAAACCATATTATGCTACTATCTCTCAAACTAAAAAATCCAAAGGCTATAATAGAAGGAAAGGGCACCTTCTCCGTGTCTGTCAGTGTACTGGAATGCCTGAACCAAACGTAGTGTCTCATCCACGGATCTACCCACGGGAAGGTCATTCAGAGTAATCTGTCTTAGGATTCCCTTGTCATCAATAATGAAGAGACCTCTGTAAAACAGAAGAATGGGAAAGATGAGGACATTTGTTCTCAGTTAAGACAAATATTAGTTACTTTGAATTCCTGTACCGCTCAAACAGAAAGATGTTATACAGAACCAAAAACATAACTACCTACCTACTTGACTGGTATGTGCATGCACACACCCCTATACCCACACCTATCTACTGTGTATTTTGGGATTATCACTGTTAAACAGTAGCATTAAAATTTTGTGTTTGTCTTTGAAATGTACTGTAGTATTATCAGTTGAATATTCATATGTACTAGATTTGGGACTGTACTGTAAATGATGAAACTGCATAGCAAAGCCTTATTCTACAATACTTAAAAATTTTTTTTGAATGAGTAACTCAACCTCTGAACCTACTAGGGCTCAGTCTCCTTAGACTAGATCAACTTGGTCAAACTTAGGTAAAATTGTTAATTACTATTCATATTTGTGTTCTTTCACATACTACTTTCACAATTGAAAATCCTCATAAAAGGTGATCAAGTCTGTTTTGAAGTGAGCGAGCCTGACTGGAAATTTTGACCTTGCCTCTGTAACACTCATCATAGCCATATACTCCACATAAAAACAAAAGCTGCTTGTTCTTTGGTAGCAAACTGTAGCTTCTGTTTTCTCTTTTGATTTTGTGAACTGCTTCTTTGGTAGACTATGAGACTAAGACATTTGCTGTGCTTGCTAATATTAGATAATTTACTTGGTTAATGTTCAAATAATTCTCAATTTGAAAAGTGCCACAGTCTTTAGTGGCATATTTATTCTTTGGGAGTTAATAATAATAGCTAGGCAGAAACCATTATAGACTTGACAAGTACAAAACAAAAAGAAAATTGGCAGGGATACACTGACTCAATATGGATGAACCTTGAAAATATTACGGTAAGTGAAAAGAGGCTAGTCATAAAAGAGCAGATACTGTAGGATTCCATCTATATGAAATGTCCAGAATAGGCAACTATTAAGATATAAAGTAGATCAGTGGTTGTGTAGGGCTAGGAGAGGGGGACTGGGTGAAATGGGGAGTAACTGCTAATGGGTATGGGATTCTTTTTGGAGCAATGAAAATGTTCTAACATGGATTGTGGTGATGGTTGTACAACTGTGAAATACTAAAAATTACTAAATTGTATGCTTTAAATGGGTGAGTTGTATGGTATGTGAATTTTATCTAAATAAAGCTGTTCTAAACAAATGCAAGATTATAAAATACTGATGCCTTTACATAAAACATTAAAAGAACTATTAGTACTACAAAGCAAATCACTATGATTATAAGAAAATTACAAGTATTTCAAGCTGAAGCTGCCCTTTTGTCTAAGAATTCTATCAGCAGTTATTAGCTCAAGTAACTCAATGAGAGCTGTTAATAAAATATATCCTTAATTTTTCCTACTTCAGAGGCACAGGTTTGCTAAATACTATGATACTTGTATTTAGAAAAACTATTACTCGAGTCAGTTTGGAAAAGAGAAAGAAATGGACAGAAAGTTTGGGGACCTGAGCTCATGTCTGGGTTCTGCAATTAACTATAGTCACTTTGGCTAAGTTCTTGGAATGCTGAATCTGTTTTTATGTAAAATGACAGGGTTGAAGACCTCTAGAATTTTCCAGTTCTAAAAGTCTTTGACACTCACATAGTTTCAGTCAGGCACTCACCAATTATTTTTAATGGTATCTACAACATTTTTGCAAGTAGAACAAATATTTCTTGATCAAACCTTGTATCTTCTAATTCCATTTCAAGTAGGTTTACAAATGTTTGTATTTGTCATCATGTACAACTACTGAAAGGTACCTAAGAGTGTGGCCTGAGTCTTCCAGATATACGCCATAGTCCTTTGAGATCTGATGGTTCAAATCTGCAAGAAGTGGAATCCTTATTGACCCAAGTCCTCCTTGTCTTCGAGGAGTATTAATCCTGTTAACAGAAAATGTACCTTTCAGGGTTAAGTAAACAGCATATATTAAAATAGTCCACACTCCTTGCATATGCACACAAACATGTGCATGGCATCTCTTGTCATTTTAAATTTTGTGCAATTAGGTAGAACATCTTTTCATGATTAATGAATTAAAAATTATTTAATCATTGCTAAGAAAATAAATATAAAAAATTTTATTTCTCCAGATTAAGGTTATCCAATTTATCATAATAATCATAGAATTCAGTGGTTTTTGCTGTGGATATTGCATTTTTAAAAAAATAATTATTTGGTACAGACCATTTTTTAAATCTTTATTGAAATTGTTACAATATTGTTTCTGTTGTTTATGTTTTGGGTTTTTGGCTGTGAGGCATGTGGAGTCTTAGCTCCCTGACCAGCGAATGAACTGGTACCCGCTGCACTGGAAGGTGAATTCTTCACCACTGGACTGCCAGGGAAGTCCCTGTATCTTTTGAATTTAACTTTTCCCAAAATTTGAAATGTTCTATAAAATCTTTAAACATTTTTACTTTACTTTCATTGAACTAGCAGCTCTCAGATAAATTTATTCCTGAACTGTCTGATAAATAACTATATTCCTGTCATGTTAAGAGTTGTCTGCCCATAATTTAAGAGTATGTCTATTCTTTCCCTATAAATGTTAAGTTTAAGATACTGACCAGGCCAAATGGGTGAACTGTGAATCAACAGAGCAGGCTACCACTTCAGTGTTGATTGATCTGAATTCGTCAATTCTATCACCAAAGGCGATGATTTCAGTTGGACACACAAAAGTGCTGGAAAAAAAAGTCATTATTCTCAAAAAACACACATACTTAGTTTCAAATGATTTTGTTTTTATAAACACTTTAGTATATAAAAATGTACATTAAGAACAATTTTATATATAAACCTTCTCAAGATGGAGTAGTCTAAAAAATGGTCACTGGATCAAATATCATTTAATTTAAAAATATAGAGTCCTCAATTATGTCTTGATAAACTTTATATTGGTGCATACAAACTGAATGTTACCTTGTATGTATGTGTAAGTGTACAGGGCAGCAATGAAAAATGGATTTCCTGCTGTGTGTTATGGTCAAGAAGGTTTGAAAAACATAGACTTAGGGGACAGGTTCCTACCACAGTCCAATATAGGCTTTTCAAATGTTTCAGTTGTTCGAGTGGAGGACTGCCATATGCAAGAAGACAGTTCTAATCCAGATTATGTCCTTGGAAATCTGGTCTATAAAATGAACTTTTAATATTTTCCAAAAGGTAAGAATGATTGGCCCTTATCCTCCTTTCTGTTATCCCAAGAAATGTTACCTAGAGATATACTGTGTGTTAGTTGCTCAGTCATGTCCGACTCTTTGTGACCCCATGGATTGTAGCCCACCAGGCTCTTCTGTGCGTGGGATTCTCTAGGCAAGAATACTGGAGTGGGTTGCCACTTCCTTTCTTACTGGCCCAACATAAAAGTTTTGGCAGAAACCTGAAGGGTTACAATTCTGATTTTCTTCCTTGTAGACTGTGGCAAATGTCCCAGGATTCTTCTTTCTCTAACCAGGTCCAGTTTGGTTGGCTTTACATGCAAACAGCAGAAACTCTCTTAGCTCCTTGCTCCAGAAGACCATTGCTAATATCATGCTTTAATTAGATAGGTCTTATTCATTGGGGAGTTTTAAATAATACTGGAGAAATAGCTTATTTGTCTGCTGTGTTAGGCTAATTTCAAAATTCAGGTTTAGCATCATATGTATTTAATATGTGTGCTGCCTTCTGGTTTTACAGCAATATGAATTTAGAAGGCCTATCATTTTATATACATTAAAATGTCTACTTCAGGTTTCTATTAGAAGTTATAGTACACATTTTAGTTAGTCAAACTATAGTACAAATTGATTAGAAAGAAGGAAGTTCTTACTAATTTAAAAGATTACATATTATGCAGATTCATGGTTTGTTTCAGTCTCAATGTACACATTTTTATGAGAATTCTATTTGGATTAGAGTAGGAGTCAGCAAACTTCAGCCCACAGGCCAAAATCTAGTGTATATTGTTTTTTGTAAATAAACTTTTAATGGTGTACAAGACCCCTTTATTATTATCTGTGGCTATTTTATGCTATAATGGCAAAGTTGAGTAGTTGCAATGAAGATCACTTCAAGACTAAAATTTTTACTATCTGGCCCTGTACAGAAGAAGTTTGCTGCCCCCGGTCTATAGACATAAAGATATGAGCTTAAGTATATCCTCCCTACAAATTTAAAATATATTTACATAGTTTTAGATTACTCCTAATGGAAAAAGGAACTTAGTATACAGTGGCACAGACAGAATAATCTATTTACTTTTTGTAACCAAAAAACATATTCAAACAGAAAAGATCAAAGTTGGGATAACTCTCTTTGGTATCTTTTCACTTTCATGGAATTTGAAAAATTCAAAAATAAATCCTCAGTGTGACTAAAACTCCAAGAATCTTTACTTTGAGTCAACTTTCTACCTATAAAAGTGCTGTCAGAATTAAAGAGAACCCCCTCCATAATCATACTTTATGTTAATAGGTGTTATTCCTTAAACATATCCAATATTTTCAGGAAAATGTTCAAATCACAGGAAAGTAACATGCAGCAAGGAACAAAAATAATAAAACCGAAGTTAAATGCTATCACCAGAGAAAAAGCCTTATAAATATTCACGTTAACAGAGAAACAGATTTGTGGTCTAAGTCTTGCTATTTAAATGCTTTCTAAAATATTCTCAGTCCATTTTCTTGCCTTAGTAAATAGAGTTTAATGAATATAATTGTGGTTTTTGTCTAATGATTACGTTAACACAATCACATATATATATAAGTATACAACATTGGGGTCAATGGGTTATGATTCTGAAATATATTCAAGATGTTACTTTCTTGAAAAAAACTCATCTCAGGTTGCCCTTTATGAACAAGTGCTAAGAAATTTCTAACTATATGATGCTCCTGAGCAAAGATGAATAATGACCGAGGTATTACTAGCTGCTATGATATGGATTACTTACAAATCAAGTGGGTAGAAGAAAAAAACCAGGTACTTCCCACGATAATCAGTTAACTTGAGCTCCTTAAATTCTCCATTTATCACAGCTGTTCCTTCCCAATAAGGTGCTGGCTTGGAAACTAAGAAAGAAAAATATATGATGTTCTTAAACGATGAGAGGGTTGGTGGGATGACAGAAGGACATCTTTAGGACATCACTAAAAACCAAGGCTTCGGAGGGAATCTTTGGACCTCTTTTAGCAGTCTGGTGGTGCAGATGGACTTCTGCAGTGTTATTGAATGCATAAAATATTTAGAATATTTAGAATTTCAAAGGAAATATATTACAATGAAATGCAATCATCAAAACTATAAAAAAACTGGTGATATATTAATATTTGTGTCCTTTTTCTTAACACGTTAAAACTCTGAGACTTGGCAGTGATCTAGTAACTACTCAAGATTGTGATGAGTGTAAATGATGTTCCAGGATACCTGCAGCATCCATAATAATGGTATGAAATGTATGTGATTCTACTTGGCGACGAGTACCGCTGAGGCAAAGGTGGTTTGCTGCTGATGTTCATAATGGAAATAACTGCTATATTTCAGCTGGAGATTAGTGAAAATAAAGATTCTTCTTCCTATTCATGCTCACAGACCCCCTACATTCTATCCCTGCACTAAACCCTACAGGATACTTCACTATAGTTCCTCCAAGTTAATCAGCTTCCCACGTTTCAAACAGTTAGATTTTCCGTTCTCTAATGGCAGTCTTCCAGATGTATTAATTTAAGTGTTTGTCCAGTTTCTTGAATATACATAGAGGACCTGCTGCTACATTCAAGGAATAGGAAATCTGCAAATATGTCAGGACAGAAGTGTAAAATCCTAGACCATAGGATTATTTTCCAGGCTTTGAAAGAGGAGACCCTCTTGAACAAGTGACCTAATGGAAATTGAATAGTTCATGCTGCTCTCTTGTCAGTGTATGCTTGGAAGTCTAGCCAACATGCTCTGATAATAATGTACCTTGATATTCTGTTAACACATTTAGATAGCACTTAAACTTTCAGAACCATCACATACATTAATGTCAATACTTGCTTCCAATTTGACTAAGGTTCCTAGAAAGTAAGGGTTATAATAGAATTTATTATATTTTGTATACTAGCCAGCATTTTTGATAACTCTGAAAACAGAGAAACACTTAAGATTAATTTCTCTGTGGAGTTAATGTATAACAGGTGATTACTTATCTTGAGCCAGCAGCCTATCTCACAAAAGCATCCTGATCTGATTAGGTAAAGGCCAGGAGGGAGAATTAGATAGCAGAAGGATATGGGACTATATATGCTTTATATATATTACTTAAAAATATTACTCAAGTGTGAGGTTATAGTTGTAATAATGTGTTACAATGATAGTCCATAGTGATTTTAGCATATTGGGAAAACCAATAAAACTGAAAAATTTTGCTCTGAAAATTTTGACTTTTGGGTTCTTTTTTATAGACACTGATGGAATGCTTTATTATCTTAACAAATTGGTAAAGGTTTGTTAAATGGTAACAATGTTGTCAAGGTGGTGGAAAGGCATGCCTTCATATCCTTGACTGTACCTAGATACGGCTTTTCTTTTTCGGGGAGGGAAATTTTGGGTTCTTGATTTACGAACTGCAGTGTTAGTTAAAAAAAAAACTGTCATCAGTTTATAGAGCAAAGAGAATTCAGTTTGCTAAGATCTATAAATGGAATTCCCAAAGCAACCATTCACATGTCAGGATGGGGAACACATGTAAACCCATGGCTGATTCATGTGAATGTATGGCAAAACCACCACAATACTGTAATTAGCCTCCAATTAAAATAAAAAAAATAATGTTCTTACAAACAAAACCCAAAAATTGTCCCAAATACAAATCATGTAATTAACAAAGCAAAAGGAAAGCAGTATAAAGTATATTTAAATTCCCTTTCCCCATAACCCATCTGTTTAACTACTGTTAACATTTTGATGTCCTTCCTCCTAGTCTTTTTAAACACAAATTTGGATCTTGTTGCATCCCACTTGTGAAAAAAGTAAGCATTAGATCATGAATAATTATTCATGTTACTAAAAATATCTGAAAGTATGAACTTAATAGCTCCATAATATTCTGTTTTGAGTGAAGGTCCTTGTACCTGTAATTCTAGATGAGCCTACACATTAGAGAAATGTAGCAAATACCTAAAATTTGAAAAGGTCTGCTGGTAGAGGGAAATCTTATTACTACCATTAGCTTCCATGAGCAGACTTGGATGGCATGTTATGGGAAATATATGTAATGCCAGTAAATGCCACTTTAACTGGCTGCCATATTTCAAAATATCTTCCGAGGCAAGTAAAAGCAATGAGACTTGGAAATATGATTTTGAAAGTGTAACACACACACACACACAAAACAAAGTGTAACACTAGCTTTTTAAAAAACAAAAACCTAAAGATAACTTGCAGTAGGAAAGAACTGCAGATGTTTAAGGAGGCAACAGTTTTTCTCATTTATCACTCCCACTCCATCCTAAGGCATATCAACATTCCATTTAACACTGGGGATTCATAACTGCGAAGTATTGCTTTTTTTCACTGAACAAGGCCAAGGAACATGCTGTAACTGGACCACAAAAGCCAAATACACATCTTCAGAATGCCAGATGGTCAGTAGGAAAAACAGGTTATTTAAAAGCAAGCAAGGGACACTCTTTATCCTTTAGTTCCTACCCACTTCTTTTTGGCTGATCTTAACATCCAGATGCAGCAGGCCACAATTTTCTCAGTATCCACTTAGTCTGACGTGTCTTTTCTGAAAGTGGCCATTAGTTGTGTACACTGGACAGAAATGCAAATAATCAAAAGCCAAACTGGCAGGACACAAATTTGCCACGAGGTTTATCATCAACCCAAATGCATTACTTCTAACCTCCTTTTCCGCATTTCCCTACAAAGAGCCTTCAAGATACACCGTGTAACAAGCTCTTCATTTCTGAGAAACACAAAGGATGCCCATTAACTCTATAGGTCTCTGGGAAGGTGGCTTTTAACAGTTTTCTTTGTAAGATGCAACAACAACAAAATGAAACGTTTCCTCTCCTGAGCCAAACGTTGATTAGCCACTTTTCTGTTTATCCAAACTTTCAGTGAATCGTTATTCAACTTATCAGCACATTCTTCTCCGAAATCGTACTTGAAAACAGACGCGATGCGCTGCAGGCACTTCGCGATGTTTGAGGAAATGTTCTAGTTTACACAACATCCTCGTCGCCTGCAAGCCCAGGACCAGGGCCACCCTCTCCCTCATCTGCGGCTTTTGGGGTAACCACTAATTCCTCCAAAATCTGAACAGTGGAACCCACCCCTTTCTTCACACCTCTGGAACCCCCTCCATCCCCCCACCCCCCAGGAGAACCAAGCTCCCCCTTCGGGACCGGAGGTAGCCCGGGAGGTGCCGCCCAAGCCAGGCCCCCGGGTAGCCACCGTAACCAGGGTACATGTGTCCCCTGGCCCTCCCCACCTCCGGGTGCCACCGGTCATCCCGCCGTGGTGGGGCACCACCTACTTTTGGCTTTGCTGAGGTGCAGGGAGTGGTCGGCGACCGAAACCCGGGACACCTCTCCCGGGTACACTTGGCCACCCGCGTAGAAGTGGCACTCCTCTTCGCGGGTTCGGGGCCTCTCCTCCGCCTCCAAGCCCCGCACAGCTTCGGCCCGCAGCAAGAACAGCAGCAGAGGCAGCAGCAGGAGCTTTCGGCTCCGGCCAGGGGCCAGAGTCATCGCGGGTAGCGGCGGGGGCGGCGCCTCCATGACCACGCGAGGGTAGTCGCACGTCCCTTGGCTCGAACGCTACTTCTCCCGCCGCCAGGCAGCTCCAACCGCGCGCTCAAAGCCCGTTCGAGCCCAAGCGCGGCCTCGCGAGACCAGCCCCTCCTCCTCACTCCCCCACCCCTCCGCTCCCCCCGTCGCCCGCTTCCCGGGCTCTCCAGGAGCCGGCCCAGCCACGTGGTCGCCAGCCCCGCCCACTCACCCCCCCTTTTGCGGGTGTTTGCGCATGCGCCCTAGGGCGGGCCCAGGCATGGCGCTTTGCCTAACTCTGAGAAGCGACAGCTGCCGTGACTGGTCTCACGCGCTCCCGCCCTCACACGTCTTCAGACATCCTTTTACGCTCGTCTCTTCCACACAGCCTCACCACTGCACACCATTCCCCCCCGCTGCCCCAAAAGTGAAATTAACTTATCTCTGAATGGTTTGCACTTTATACTTCTAACAGGTACTGTTTTTTTTCCTTGATCTGCCAACAACGCCACGACTCCCCCCACCTCCGCCCCTAGTTGAAGCCCTTGTAAGTTTGTAAATCCTGGGAAAACTTGAAGAAAGGCCTAACCATTTACTCTTCTCCAGCAGGCAAGGCAAACAGGCAGTTTGGTGACTTAAGCCTGCCTCAAAGGTGTCTTATTTTTTAACTTGAAAAGTTCCCGGAAAACCAGACTTTCTTCCAGCGCAGTATACGTCCATCGTCTGACAATTACCCCATCATTTTACAGGAGTCTTCCGCACTCTTTATGCTCCCCTCCGCCCCCCGGGGTCCCTTCTAGCCTCCTGCGAGCTCTTGTCATCTTTCTGAATCCCACAGAAGCCATCCGACAGTTTCTCTTTCCTCTGTTAGACTGTCAGCTCCCTGGGGGTCAAAATCGATGTGGAATTCAGCTTTGTTTCTCAAGGCACCTGGCACAAGGTGAGCATTTGCCATTGTAAGCTTTTGATTTTGCGAATAACACCTACTGTTTCCAACTGTCAGTCAGTTTTAAGTTGCTTTCACATGTTATATCCTTACTCCCTGTGACAACCCTTTCCAAACTAGTTCTGTCCAGAAAGAGCAATGGGCTAGGTGCTGAAGGCTCTTGGCCCCTACAGTCTGCCAGCCCCTCCTCGCGGCTCTCCACCCTCACCTGGAGGCATTTGCGCCTGCTCCCTGCGGGCAAGCCCAGTGTACTCAGCGAAGCCGCACGGCGAAGCCCAACTAAGTTTGTGATTTTGTGACGGCCGCGGCGGGTCTCTTGCCCTCCTAGACCACCCTGCCCTCTCCCAGCCATCCCTGTTCGCCGTCAGCAGTGTTTTAGGTGCTCCTCATCTTTCCAGGCCCATCTCTTCCACAAAGCTTTGAGGGAGACTGCGCTCCCGCCATTGCAGGTGACTGATCAGCACTGTTTTAGACCCTCTTATTCTTCCGCGCACATCTCTCCTACGGGAGCCTCACTACCATCCGTCACCCCCTCCCCAAAGTAACCTTTCTGCTTCTGAAATTTTATGCCTTTGTGTGTGTGTGTGTGTGCGCGCGTCTGCGCGCGCGGGCGCGATGCGCTCAGTTGCACAGTCCTGTCAGACTCTTTGTGACTCTGTGGACTGTCGCCTGCTAGGCTCCTCTGTCCATGGACAGAATTCTTGTCCCAGGCAAGAATATTGGAATGGGCTGCCATTTCCTCCTCCAGGGAATATTCCCGATTTAGGGATAGGACCCACGTCTCCTGCATTGGCAGGCGGATTCTTTATCACTGAGCCAACTGGGAAGCTGATTTTATACCTCTAAAAGATACTTAGGGCTTCCTTGGTGGCTCAACTGGTATAGAATCCGCCTGCAATGTGGCGGACCTGAGTTCGATCCCTGGGTTGGGAAGATCCCCTGGAGAAGGGAAAGGCTACCCACTCCAGTATTCTGGCCTGGAGAATTCCATGGACTTTATAGTCCATGGGGTCACAAAGAGTCGGATACTACTGAGCAACTTTCACTTCACAACAGATATTTATTCTCCTTTTCCTGCAGTGAGCTGGGTGAATTGGCACCATGACTCTAGTTGTAAGCCCTTTTAAGTCCTGGGAGAATTTGGATAAGAAAGGTCTAACCTGAAAAGCAGTATCTTGAGGTCAATTATTGTCTTTCAGTGGGAAAGAATCTCAAGCAGAAAAGTCAGTTTGGTGATTTGAGACTGTCTCAAGGTGTGTATTACTCTTTTAAAATCAAGACTTGCTACATTCCCACAAAACCCTTTCTCCCAGGCATGGTATTATTCCATCTTCTGACAAGTAACCCCATCATTCACCTATTAGCTAAGATGGCAGATGAGAACTGAGGGGAGACCCACAATGTGCACACCAGGAAGAGGTAAGCCACCGGTAACTTTTATGTCTCCCTTCTATTTTCCTGTGAGTTCTTGTCATTTTTATGAATCCCACAAAAGCCATCCAGCAGTTTCTGTTTCCTCAGACTGTCAGCTCCCTGGGGGTCAAAATCTACGTGGATTCCCAAGGTGCCTGGTGCAGCTGAGCATTTGCTATTGTATACACTTGATTTTGTAAATAGCTTCTAATGTTCCCGATAGTCTGTCATAGTTTAAGGTTGCTTTCACATATTGTACCCCTCCAGACAACCCTTTGATGCAAATAGGAAACAAACTCATCCCTCTCCCCAGTCCTACCCATTATATGCTCTGCTTTTTGTTTCCTGACCTGTTTCCTGTGGGCAAAGGAGGAAGTCACCTCTCTTTTGCTGAGGGTGGTAGAGGGGGTTAGTGGGGAGCATCTCCTTACCCATAATAACGTTGTCTGTCATTTCTTCACTTTGAGGTGGTCTGTAGACAGGGGTAGGTGTTCTCGGACGAGGTAGCTCTCGAACCTCCAATTCATCTTCTCCTCTGGCCTCCTGTTCCACATGGAAGGGGACTGGGGTCCGGGGAATTCGGGGCTGAGTTCCAGGGACTCGGCTCAGACCAATGCCCCGAGGTCGGCTTCGGTGTTCCATGCTGACTGTTGGACAAGTAGCCACAAAGCCTTAGTGAATTCTAGGCCTTGAGCTGGCTCTCCTAAATTAGAAACTGGGAGAGAAAGCCTGGGGATAGTGTTATTTCCTGACACCTCTGTTATGGCCTGAGCCGAGGTGCCCAAGTTGGCAACAAGGGCTGCCCACCAAAGGGGGCCCCAGTGAACCTCCTGCCCACTGGCGTGAGTGGCCAGGTAGGCCAGCTCCCAGCCACAAACTGTGCTCTCCTCACCAGAACCCCCTGGTAACTGACATTCTGGGTGGCGGTTGCTCTGAATCCTTCTGTCCAATGATGACCTGCCACCTGCGGGTAGGCATTGTGCTGTCACAGTGGCAGTCACAGGGAGGCTTGGGGTGGGGCCCTGCCCCATGGCACTCACCATCCAGCTGGCATCAGCTGCCCGTGTTAACAATACAAAACTGTAAGACAGTGAGGTGGTTCTGTGTATAGAGAAACACATGGGGAGCTTAAAGACATTTGAGTGTATGGACCAAGCCCCAGAAATGATGATTTAAATGAGGGGTCCCCAACCTTGGGAATCTAATGCCTGATAATCTGAGGTGGAGCTGATGTAATAGTAATAGAAATAAAGTGAACAATAAATGTAATGTGCTTGAATCATTTTGAAACCACCTGCCAACACCTGGTCTATGGAAAAATTATCTTCCACAAAACTGGCCCCTGGTTCCAAAAAGGTTGGGGACTGCTGCTTTAAGTGATGTTGAGGGGGCTGGTTCTGAACTGTGTATGGTTTCACAAATGATGTGTATGGTTAAGAACCACCACAGATGGCAGTTAAGAGCACACGTTGTGGACTTAGCTGTATTTAGGTTCCAATCTGAACTTTGACACCCATTGGCCTTGTGGCCTGGGGAAATGAACTTAACCTTGGGGAGCCTGAGTTTCATCTGTAGATGGGAGTTGTTATTACCTTCCCCATGTTGTGAAACTGAAATGATAGGAGTTTCATGATATAAGTGTAAAACCTGACTTGGAACATCAGTCAGACTTAGGGGCTCATTTCTTTCTTTTTTTTTTTGTCTCAGAAACATTTATTTATTTTTAATTGGAGGATAATTGCTTTACAATGTTGTGTTGGTTTCTGCTGTACAACAGTGTGAATCAGCTATGAGTATACCTATGTCCCCTCCCTCTTTAGCGTCCCACCCCATCCCCTCATCCCACCCTTCTAGGTCATCACAGAGCACTGAGCTGAGCACCCCATGTCACACAGCAGCTTCCTGCTATCTAGCTATCTGTTTTATACATGGTAGTGTATATATGTCAATGTTATGCTCTCAATTCATCCCACCCACTCCTTCCTGCCCCCCGCCTATGTCCACAAGTTCATTCTCTCTGTGTCTATTCCTGCACTGCAGATAGGTTCAGATAGATTCATCAATACTATTTTTCTAGATTCCATATATATGCATTACTATATGATATTTGTTTAGTGACTCATTTCTGAGTCAAGGTCATAAAGAGGATAGTTTTTGCCTATGTCTCGGGGACCTCCCCTCTCCCTCTGGGGCACCACCAGATATGGGGGTTCACAGCCAGTCACCAGTAGCTGTGCCAGTTAGCACTGGCCCGTAAGGCCAGAGCCCCGAGGAAGTCAAGGCCTGCAGCTTTCAGAAATGAAATAAACAGGACTCTTTTCTGGAAAAAAAAAAAAAAAGGATAGTTTCTGTCTTGGATTTACATTCCTCAGTCTGGGGGAAGACTTACTGTCCAAAAATTTTTTTGAGATAAAATTCACTAAACATATAATTTATCCTTTAAAAATGCATAATAAATTCAGTGGTTGTTAGTATTGTCATGGTGTTGTACTTTGTGCTCACTACTGTCTAATTTGAAAACATTTCCATCACCCTTAAAAAGAAACCTCATTCCTGTTAGTGGTTAATTTCTCACTTCCCCCTAGGTCCTGGCTAATCTATTTTCTCTCTGTATAGGTTTGCCTATTCTGGACATTTCGTATAAGTGGAATCT